TGCAAGTTACGTATTGCCACACCCTGTCAATGGAGTAAACACGGTATAATATTTGACAAAATAAACAACCAAACAATTTTACTTACATACATCCACTTTTTTCTTCTAATATAGTACTTAGCGCTTTGTCCTCATGTAATTTATTGTCACCAAATAGTCTTTTCTTAGTGCTATGTAGATCTTGCTCATTGCTTACTTCACTTATATGAATCTTATTTTGTGGCGTGCTTACCTAATATATTCCACAAGTTTTATTATTTCAATATAAGCAAAAACTTTTATTAACCATACCTGCATGGCATTTAAATTAAAGTTAAATTGTTGCGTGGTACAAGACAATTCCAATGGATTAAAACCAGGCACGTCATTATCGTCACAGGAAGAAGAGCTGCTGTCTGAAAATGGTAGATGTACCATTGGCCTTGCTCCATCAGCTGGTTGAGCAGCCATAGCCCCGTCCATGCCGCCCCGAGACCCCGTTTCCACTTCGTCGGCATTTAAAACTCGAAAAGCAGTCCTCATGGCGTTTCCTAAAATAGAGATATATTCCTTCTTAATGGCAAAATTATTGCATATAACGATATTTTTATTTTATTTTGGACCTAGTATGATTCTTTTTATATTTTTGGACATATTGGCTTCCTACACGACTAACTAATATAAAATTAAAAATCTAAGTGCAACTAGGCTGTTATTATAATTTTATTTCATCTCACAACTAATAGTCTGTATTGCCTCCTCGAGCCTCAATGCAAGCTGTGAGACGACGTGGCATGCTCTCAATTAAGTTGTCCAGAAGATGTTGAGGAATGGCTTCCCATGTTTCGCGCGCAGCCATTTCCAATCATTTAAGGAACGGGGGGGGGGATCATTCCTTTTGGCAATATGGCATTTTAGCATATCCCAAGACATTCATATCTGGAGACATCGGTGGCCACCACAGTTTTCTTATACCCCCTTCCTCACAAAATTCGCGAACCGCTAAAGTGCGATGGGGAGGAGCATTATCGTTCATACAAATTCATCTCCCACTGCCCCTCAAAATGGACGCACAATAGGCCCTAAAAAGTCTCTAAGATATGAGGCACCTGTCATTGTGCCATCAATAAAAACAAGAGGAGTTCGAGCTCCGTGCATTATACCTGCCCATATAGTCTGTAAAACGAATAACTTTGAATTTGACAGTTCCCGCGGGCTTTTCTAGTGTAAATTTTATTAGGTTAGCAACTTGCGGCCATGCTGATGCAGTGCCGTCTCTAATAGAACAGCCTCGGAGCGAGATTTATGACGTCACGCTAGTTAGATTATGTTAGATATATGTTAGAATACATATATGTTAGAATACATATATAGATATATGTTAGAATACATGGAAAACATAATTATTCCTCGTATATGTAATTTTTTGGATTATATTCGACACTATTTTTTTCATGTGACACAACACTGATGAAGGCTATAAACGTTAGCTATAACGTTTTTTTTTAAACCAAAAAAAATAAGAAAAACGAAATGAAAACTTAGTCAGCGTTTTTTCCGAACCTAAATCCCAAGTAAATCAAAAATTTTAGAATAATTTTACATATAGAATGACAGCGATCTTTATTTCATAGCTATCGCTGATGCCTTTTTTTCTATGATATTGTATTATTTGCAAATATAATTTTTCGAACATTCATGCTTGTAAAATATACATATTATATATATGTTAAATATATATATATATATATATATATATATGTTATATATATATATATATATATATATATATATATATATTGCATATATTATATATTATATGTATATATATATATATATATATATATATATATATTATATATATATATTGGCCATTATTATTATATTATTATGGTATACATATATATATATTATTACATATTGTATATGTATATATTGTATATATACATACATATATTATATTATTATTAAGATAAAGTTGAGCATACACATACACATTATTATTATTACATACACACACATATTATTATTGTTGGCTGATTATTATTGACACAACACACATATTATTACACATATTGGCGTATTACACATTGGCCACATTGGCTGGCCACATTATTGCCACATTACATTACATTGCTGCTGCTGGCTGACATTGCCATTGCCATTGCTGACACACATTACACATACACACATACATTATGCCATTGGCCACACATTACATACATGCTGCATTGGCTGGCCACATACATGCACATACATATTACAATCGATACACATACCGCATATACGCATTATATATATATATATATATAATATATATATACATACATGTAAAAATGCTGTAAATCTTGTTGGACAGATGAAACAGCGCTGGTGCAAAGAACTGCATGGCAGATTTTACGCCTCCTTGCACCAAGAAGATGTGGATTTCAAGGCCTCAAATACCTACCTAACAGCTGATTCCCAGGAACCGAAGGCGCAATAATTATCCATTCAAGACCAAGAAAAACCCGAACATATGCACGGTATATATTAAACAACAAGTTGAAAAACACAAAATGTCGATTGTGTAATATTAGTGAGGAGTTTGTACAGCACTTGTCTTCGGATGCAGTAAAATAGCCGGGACCAGATACCTAGAAAGACACAATATGGAAAAAAAATCAGTTGGTATGCCTGAATAAGTGGCCTCCTTGACACATTTACCCCCCACCACATGTACGTTCCAAAAGCTGTATTAGAGAATGTAACACCACCAAGATATACCGGGATTCCACAGTAGTGAACAGATATAGGAGTAGAACATAATAAAACCCGGATATATAATATGGAATAACCTGAAAATCAAGCATCATAATCGACTTCAGTACCGCAGGATTATAACGTGGCTAAAGCCTATGCAGATAAGATAAACAAGTACGCTGCACTTCAGAAATAAATAAAAGCAATCTGGGAACTGCGGAAGGTGATTATAGTACCGTTAATAATAAGTGCCAATGGACTTGTACACAAAATGACAAACCAACATATCATCAAAAGAACAAAAACCTCCTTGAACAACACCATAATGTGGATGCAAAAAAGGTTGTGCTTGGTACCGCCGGAATTATGTCTGAAGAATTAATCTCACCTTATTGACAATATTCGTCGTGCCTTTGGCCGGTTAAGAGCCCGACATGGACTAGAACTACCACTAACAGTGTGAGAAAAAAAAAAAAATATATATATATATATATATATATATATATATATATATATATATATATATATATATATATATAGTATAGCAGCATATATATATATATATATATATATATATATATATATATATATATATATATATATATATATATATAGAACCAGAATTTTGAATGGGGTAACGGCCTAGTCGTAAGGGCAAAATTTAATGAAAACTCATTTATTACTACTGCCAAGCTTTCGAAAAATCTTTATTTTCTTCTTCAAGGCTACAATATGGAGATAGTTTTATTAACTTTATATTAATTTACATATCAATCAAAAATCGTACCTTGTGTGCAATGTGAGTATGAAAAAAGAAAAATTGTATGGCAATCCTCGCAAAACAGAAAAACCTTTAACATTCCATGCAGGTTGGATCGACACTTTTAAAATCGTATTTCAGTATTTTCATCTTATAAGAAGAATTGTAACTGTTAAATTTATTCAATTACATCTAGAAGAAATACGGATGGCCGTACTGAACCACCATTTTTCAGTGACCGTCTTTAATTAACCACGTGAGAAACGTCAAAGCTGTCGTTAGTCAAAAAGAATTCTGCTATTGTGAAGCACTATTTCAATCTCTGCCTACTAGGTGGCGCCTTTGTTTCTGGCTCGAGAATTCAATTTAAATTTATTTCAAATTTGTCAATACATTGAAAACGCAAAACGACTCCAATCAGCAGATAAACAGTTTTTTTTTGAAAGTAACATTACTATATAGTTAAAAATGACATTGGCAAAATGCCATCTAATTGCCACTGTCACCCTGAAGTTGTTAAATAACTTAGTTATTTTTCGTGTCCCCATCAAGCTGTCACCTTACATAGGGCCACATCCACAACCAAATCTTAATTTATGTAAACCGTAGTGAATGACACTTACGTCAACCTACGAATGAGCATCGTCTGCATTAAGATTCAATATAAAAACCAAGAAAAAATTAACAAATTGCGAGAAAACATTGTTAAATTACTAAAAATGAAAGAACAGCTATTAGACAATCCTGAAAAACCGACAACTTTTATTCTGTGAATTTCTTCCATTGTTAAGAATGACATTGACAAATTGTCACACATTTGTCACTGTCAGTCTCAAGTTGTTATGTAACTTGGTTGTATCTGCGTCCCAGTCAAGCTGTCACCTTGGAATGAGTCACTTCTACCCCAAAAATTTTTTTTGGTTTTTTGTGTTATGAACCCGAGCTTACGTAATTCACAGCGTGCCTGCTAATCAACATCGTCTGTGTTACAATTGAAGTTTAAGAATCAGTTAAATTACAATCTAAATGAGCAAATATATAAATACCAGAAGAAAAGAGAAGATTATTTCGTGTCGATGTTTGTCACCGTCAAAAAGGTACTCAAGAGAAAGTCACCATTGCACTTTATTAAGAGGATGTACGTATTATATAATTTTCTTGAGATATTTAACTTATAATTATTAATATATAAACTATATATTATGTATATTTCATGTAAACTATATCATTTTTAAAATACAAACCAAAAATACGAGGAGTAATTATGTTTTCCATGTATTCTACAACATATTTATTAATCCGTGCTGTCTAACTAGCGTGACATCATAAATCTCGCTCCGGGGCTGTTCTATTAGAGACGGCAATGGTCTTATATTTAGAAATGTCAAAGGCGATGACATATTACTTTTCGTCAATTATGACATTTCTGCGTTGATTTTTGCAAGAAGAGGAAGAACTGTCATTTTTACTATTTCCCTTCTACTTTCAATGAAAGTAAAAAAGAATTACCTATCTGATTCGTTCAGGCACTCAATTTAAAGAATATCAGTAACTTTTTGGATAGAGGGATTTTATATTTGCCATGTTGGTAAAAAATAACGGTCAAAATTCAAAGTTATTCATTTTATAGACTATACTATAATGCTTCCCCCTTGAAACGGGACACGGGGTTGAGCTGCATTCAAGCGTGCTCGTCTTCCAGATGCTCTCCAGACCAAAGTTCGTCGCGAGTCTGACACTAGGCCTATTCTTGTTTCATCACTAAACATGACGAAATTTCAATTAGGTCCATTTGCTCTCATCTCTTCAGCCCAGTGTAGCCGCGCAATATTTTGTGCTGTAAATTAAGCCTCGGAACACGTAGAGGCCTCCTTAAATGTAATCCTCTGTCATGGAGTCTTCTTGCTATGGTCTTTCTTGAAACATTTACTCCTTCAAGGCGAGCTAACTCATTTTTAATAGTAGTACTAGAAAGCAGGGGATTGCGTCGTGCAATTAGGGATATTTGACGGTCTTGCACACTCTTTCTACCTCTTCCAGACCGGTATG